ACGCTCTGAAAGCCAGGATTGACGTTCCACCCCCACCCTGCTTAGGTGGTGAGCCGATTTGGGCTCGCCCGCAGAGGCTGATGGACCCTGATAGATTCCGTCAAGCCTTGTGGGACCTTTCTCCCCCTGGCGACTCATTGACTGAGCTTGTTGAGGGCTGGAATACCCAGCTCCTGGCAGCCATCGATGAGATCGCACCTAAGCGCCCTCTGCGACCCCGCACAAACCGGGCTCCCTGGTTTACCGAGGAGCTCTGGAAAATGAAGCGGGACCTCAGACGGCTAGAGCGAGTATGGCGGGGGTGCCCATGACGGAGCCTCAAGAACATCTTATAGGGTTTTTATGAAAACCTACGAGATGGCAGTGAAGGCCGCTAAGAAGTCCTACTTCTCGGCCTCCATTGCATCCGCTAGCTCTCGCCCGGCGCAATTATTTAGTATAATTTGGTCTTTAACGTCCCTCGAAGGACAGCCAAATTTAAATAACAATTTGACACACAGCTGTGAGGCATTTGCGAGCTTTTTTGCGGAGAAGGTCCTGTTGCTCCACCATGACCTCCCTGCCAATTTGGATACAATAAAGGAACTGGAGGCCCCTCGACTGTCCTCGGGTCCAGTATTGGACCACTTTGACCGGATATCCCCAGCCGATGTGGACAGACTCCTCCGAGCTGGAAAGCCCACCACTTGTCCTCTCGACCCGTGCCCGTCTTGGCTGATTAGAGCGTGTCCAGACGAGGTGCGGGCCCCCCTGGGGGATATCATCAATTTGTCCCTTGGCACCGGGACATTCCCAGGGGAACTGAAGGAGGCAGTGGTGCGCCCGCTCTTAAAGAAAACATCATTAGATCCCTTAGATCTATCCAATTACCGCCCGCTTTTGAATCTTCCATTCCTGGGTAAGGTGATTGAGAGAGCGGTTGCTGAACAGCTTGGTAGGTTTCTGGATGAAACATCGGCTCTGGATCCATTCCAGTCCGGCTTCCGTGCTGGTCATGGGACCGAGACGGCTCTGGTCGCCCTAACAGATGATCTCCGCAGGCAGCTGGATCGAGGCGGGTCGGGGCTGCTGATTCTTCTAGATCTGTCAGCAGCCTTCAACATGGTCGATCACGAACTCCTGGACCACCGCCTTGCCGACGTGGGGATCCAGGGCACAGTCCTTCAATGGCTGCGCTCGTTTCTCTCTGGTCGGGGACAGAGGGTGGCGCTTGGGGGGGAATTGTCATCGCGCCACTCCTTGGTGTGTGGAGTGCCTCAGGGTGCGATTCTCTCCCCGATGCTTTTGACATCTTTATGCGCCCTCGCCCAGCTTGTCCGGAGTTTTGGGCTGGGTTGCCATCAGTATGCCGATGACACCCAACTCTATCTGTTGATGGATGGCCATCCTGACTCGGCCCCAGACACACTGACCAGATGTCTGGAAGCTGTGGCTGGATGGTTACGTGGAAGCCGGTTGAAGTTAAATCCTTCGAAGACAGAGGTCCTCTGGCTGGGACGGGATGATATGGGATTGAGGGGGCAACTCCCATCTCTTGCGGGGGTGCAATTAGTGCCAGCACCGTCCGCTAAGAGTTTGGGTGTAATCTTCGATACCTCCCTCTCCATGGAGGTGCAGATTGCAGCTATAACAAAGGCGGCATTTTTTCATCTCCGCCAAGCTAAGCAGTTGGCTCCTTACCTCTCTCGCCCTGACCTAGCCACTGTGATCCACACGACGGTCACCTCCAGACTGGATTATTGTAACTCGCTCTACGTGGGGCTACCCAGAAACTCCAGCGGGTGCAGAATGCTGTGGCGAGACTCCTTACAGGGTCTTCGCTGCAAGATCACATTCATCCAGTGCTATACCAGCTGCACTGGCTCCCGGTGGAGTACAGGATCAGGTTTAAGGTGCTGGTTTTAACCTTCAAAGCCCTATACGGCCTAGGACCCTCGTACCTACGGGACCGCCTCTCCTGGTATGCCCCACAGAGGAACTTACGGTCTTCAAATAAAAACATCTTGAAGGTCCCAGGCCACAGAGAGGTTAGGCTGGCCTCAACTAGAGCCAGGGCTTTTTCGGCTGCGGCTCCAACCTGGTGGAACGCTCTGTCACAAGAGACAAGGGCCCTGCAGGACTTGACATCTTTCCGCAGGGCGTGCAAGACAGAGCTGTTCCACCAGGCCTTTGGTCAGGGCGCAGCCTGACTCCTCCTTTGGCAATCTTTACAGAACTTTAGTTTATGGTTGCCATCAATTTTGATTTTAATTAATTTTTATAATGTTTTTATAATGTTGCACTATTTTAGTGTTGTTAGCTGCCCTGAGCCCGGCTTCGGCTGGGGAGGGCGGGATATAAATAAAATTTATTATTATTATTATTATTATTATTATTATTATTATTATTATTATTATTTCAAATCTTAAAAGAAAAGCGGCTGCGAATAAGTCCCAATTGCATATAAAAGTCCATCTGTGCTCTCTTTTTAAAGAGCAATTTAGGTTCTTAATGAGGCTTGGCATGCAAAACCAATTGTTAATGTTAGAAGAAGAAAAAAACATACCAAGCCCCTCCGAATTCCAAACATCATGATGAGGATCTCTTTGAAGTTTGATCTTTTACACCAGAGACTGTACATACTGCAGGTTTTTTTCCAGCTTCGTCAGTTCAGAGCGTGTCTGTTTGTTTTCAAATCTTTATATTTTCCCAAACAGATGTGTCAGGCTATGGGGTGGCGTCGCAGGAGTGTCAGTCTTCCTTTGCTCTGTGACGCAGTGCCCCTGCCGTCTGCCACATCAGCAATCTGGGGCAAACCGCGGGTCGTCGAGACAGTCCTCCCCTGCCCTGGGGAGGCTGCCAGGGCTAATTACCCCCATATCAGCCCTGAATTATCGGAACGGCTGAAGTCCGATCGTGTGGGATCTGCCATTTCCCACCGCCAGAAACAGGAAGTCAAACACCGAAATCTTGTGACGTCGGCTGCGACGCCATCAGAAGATTGTCTGTCAGTTTGTAGTATTTAGGGACTTCAAAAACACTATCCCTGCACCCTGTCTCTGCAACAGTCCACCATCAGCTTGATGAATATAGTCATGAGATTTGCAAGTTATTATAAGAAATAAATTTTTATGAGAGCAACAAGACAGATCTCTGACCAGCTGAGGTACAAATCAGTACCAATTCAAGTGTTTAGTGACTTATAAGGTGGAGAAGGAGCATGAAACCCTGCACTGCAATATTGGAAAATGCTGGAATTACTTATAGCTGGGGCTACCCAGTAACTCTGAATTTGGCACAAAATAACATATTTGGAGCAGGGGACGGACTTACTGTGGGGAATGAAGCTGGAAACACGAAGAGAGGAGAAGCAAGAAGAGGAGCTGACTAAAATGACTATTGGGGACTGGGGAATGGGCGAGCTGGATGAAGGGAGATGGAGACAATTTTGGGTTGGAATCCCCCAGAGACCTACTCCTCAATGAGAAAGGAAAGAAATTAAGAAAGAGACCAACAAAAGACAAGGAAAAGGGCAAGTACAAACAAGAAGAAGAAGAACTGCAGAAGGGACATGGAAGAGACTTAAGGGCCTCGGACATAAGGTTCATAGGTCCATAGGTTGATGGACTAGATGGAACGGACAGTAAGGACTGACACGATCCGAGACCAGGAAGAAGAGACGCTGGATGATGATTGGAAGAAAATTTATAATGGAAATTTTTTATTTTAGAATTAGCTTAATGAATATTAGGGAAAATGTTGGAATGAAACTATATGACTCTAGCAGAAATGATAGCAGGAGCTATGTATATTTGAAAACTAAGATTTAAGTTTTAAGGTATTTTGGGGTAAGATAAGGTTAAATAAATTAAGGTAATTTGAATAACAGAATATGGGGAAAGATGGAAAGGATTTGTTGAGTTAATTATTAGGTTAAATTGTTAAGATAAATTTTTTAACAAAAATTGAGAAAGATGGAAAGAATTTGCTGAAATAATTAATTAAACTAGAATACAAAAAGGGAGGTGTGAGGAGGTCAATGAAACAAGCAAATGGAAATTTTAGATATGCAATTTGGGATTTGTGTCTTTTTTCCCCCTTCTTTTTTATTTTCTTCTGCTGTATTGTTGTATTGGTTTTTATATTTTGCGTTTTTCTCTTTTTTTGTATTGTAGTGTTGTTTTTTATTTTTTATTTTTCTTGTAATTCTGAAATTATTAATAAATATTATTTTTTAAAAAATAAAATAAAATGACTATTGGGGACTGACAGTAAAGACTGTTTTAAATTATATCAGAGTGAAGACATAACAAATATAGTGGGAGATAAAGCTCTGCTGTGGCTCCTTGATTGGAGGAGCCTCCCCCCCCCCCCATGAGAGGATAATTAAGACAATGGGAGAGGTGAAATACCTCAGAAAAAATAGGAGGGAAGACAAAATGAAATGTATGGGCATGGTAGGAATGGGAGGGGTGGGGAAGGGATTGAATGGGATGGGCAATGGGTTAGATAAGTATCATAAGACACGAGACCAGAAATTAAGAACTACATTTAACTCTTGGATAATGAAATAAGGATTTCAACCTTAAACATTAAAGGGCTGGGGTCGATGATGAAAAGGAGGAGGATAGAAACATTGCTGAATAAAGATAAAGCAGATATAATATTTTTACAGGAAATGCATCAGAGGAAAAAGGGGGTTAATGAACTCAGACTGAGAGGTATAAATAATTATGAAAAAGCATATGGTACTTCAAAATCAAGAGGGGTAGCAAATAATAATTTCAAAGAGATGTGGGTTTGAAGCACGTGAACGTAAGCAGGTACTCGCTTGGTGTTAAATAAGGATCAGGCAGACTCAGCAATGGAGAATAAGAAGGTGAAGTTTATTGCCAGGCAATAAGGACCCAGTTTGGAATCTCTTCCAAAAGGAACTGGGACCCCGAGTGACAGAAATCCAGAGGTCTTATACCTGAGCAGATCACAGCAAATCATAGATCATGAGACAACCATGAGGGACTCACAATATTGTCAGTGAGAATTAGCCAATTAGCAAGCTCCTTGCCATGCTACCAGCTCCTGGTCAAGCACTGGTCAAGCACGGAGTTCCAGTTCTGCTTTCCATTGCTTGCAGTGACGCTCTGTCTAACCTCTCCCCTAGTTATGACAGGACAGGGAGTTTTGGAGATTTTGTGGTTTTGCTCTTCCTGTTCTGTGGATTAATTTAGCCTGTATCTGAGGGGATTTTGTACCAGTATCTCTGATTCACGTCTTCCCCTTGTCCAGGGTACACGGATGTTTGTAGGGGAAAGGTCGGCTCCTAACTTTGCTGTTTCAAGCAGTTTGCAGTTAGCTAAGGCACAGCTTCCCTTTGATTCAAAATGGATTTTAAAATACTGTAAGCCCTGATTATGTGTGAGCATATATGAATATATTGATTACTGATAACTGATTATATGGATAGCATAGGGTAGCCCTTCTTCCTGGCCTCATTCCCCCCTTTTCAAGCTCAGATAGAAGATTCATCTGACTCCTGAGCTTGAACACCACTCTGGACATCAGAATAAACCACTGTTTCCTGTAAGGGGACCTGTTCCTGCACTGGGACTGGTTCCCTATGCATTCGCTCGTAACCATCATCTTCCTCTGGCTCCTCTGGCACTGGGGGCAAAGCTCGATATATCGCCAGAATCTGAGGGTCAGTGAGATGCTTAACATTGTGGGCTATCATTCCCCTAAGCAAAGACAGACAACAAGGGATTACAGAAAGAAGCAACAGAAAAATAAATCCTCCTATAGCTAAGGCAGTCAGAAGGCTAAGCACCCACCCCTCTCCTGGGATCCAGGACCACATCTTTTCCCAGGGATTCTGAGTGGGTGTGTTGTCAGCTACCAGAGATTGCAGTTTTTGCAGTTCGTCTTCGATTGTCTTGTTAAGGTCATGGAATTTAACCTGGCATTGACCTTTTGGGACAATTTTACAAAAACCGCCCGAACGTGCAAGGAGGTAGTCCAAAACTAATCTATGGGTCATCGTCAATTGATTCAAATCCTCAACCTCAGCCTGCAGGGAGCGCAAGACACGGGTGGTAGCATTGATAGTTTTCTCCAGCCTGCATGTAAGAGCAAACAGTGCCTCTCTATTTTGCTCAGAAACTATTCCTGGGTGAATTCCCATTGAGAGGAATCCTATAAATCCTCCCCTAACGCTCCCTACAGAATTTGACAGAAAAATTTCATCTTCACAGTGCTCGCCTAGGGCTGCCCTTTTCCATCTGCTTCCAAGGTGGGGTACCTGGTGATTGACCTCCACCGTGACCGGAAAGGTAAATGCGCCCCCGCCGACACACTGGAAATTTCCTGGGTGGAAATTTGTTGCCAATCCATCATATAGAAACCAAAGGTTAGGATCTTTAATCATCCAGCCAGAACAAATGGACCCTTGTCCAGTGAAATTAACCGAATACTGAGGAAAGTATGGGTACAAATCTGAAGAGGTAGTATTGCCCTGGTAGGAGGCATTGTGGGAACCCCAAAGCCAAAATTTATCAGTGCATTGGGTATAATTTCCCAGCCATCCTTTGTCAATGTGGTACTTAACTTGGGGCCAATACTTCCATTTGGAATTCCATACTCCTGTGGAATGACAACAAAACATAGGCCTTTTGTGGTTCTGGTGTATCGGATGTATCGGTAGGGGATGTCATTCATTTCAGAAGGTGGGGCTGCAAAGAGGCCACTCTGATTGTAAAGCAGGCCTGCCAAAACAACATCAGGATCCTTGATTAATCCTGGTATAAGGGACATGTCTGCCACCTTCCTTGGGTGTTCATAATATAAGGTAGCATTCTCCCCATATATTTGGAACATGTGTTCAGCATGCTTTATAAAGGCATTACCCACTACCATTGGGCCTCTCTGGAGCCACAAGCACATCAAGATCAACAGAAGCTTCATCTTCATTTTCCCCCTGTAGGCCTTCAGGGTTGAACCTTATCAATTCTGGCTCTAGGTTGATGTCACTACTGGTTTTTTTTTTTTAATGATATTTATTGAAAATTTTAGAATTACAAAAGAAAACAAAAAAGAAAAAAGAGAGAAAAAAACAAAGAAAAAACAAACCACAATCAAACAATACAGATTAATAAAAATCAAAATCAGAAAATAGCACAACACGCTCAAAAAACAAAAATATACCACAAACATTTAAAAACAAATCCAATATTCTCAAATCCTTAACTGTCATTACCTTCTTTCTTTGACCTCCTCCTCCTCCCTTTTTTTGTATCCTGGTTATTAATTGTCGTAGCAAATCCTTTCCATATTTCATAATATTCTGTCATTACTTTACCTTAATCTATTTTAATCTTATCTTACTATAAAAACCTTAAAGCTTAAAACTTAAATCTTATTTTTACCAATTTCTCATAACCATAATATTCTTACATAATTCTTTAAACATTTTTGCTAAAGCCAAATAATTTCGTTCCAACATTTTTCTAACATTCATCAATTTTATAAAACAATCCTAATAAAAAAACCCAAAAAAACCAACAACAATCCAATCTTCATCCAGCGTCTCTTCCTCCTGGTCCCGGGTTTTGTCAGTCCTTTCTATCTCATCAATCTAGCGCATTAACCTGGCAGTCTTATGTCCGAGGCCCTTAAGTCCCTTCCATGTCCCTTCCGCAGCTCTTCTTCATATTTATAGCTGTATTTTCCTTTATCTCCTGCTCCTTTCACTCTTGGGAACTCCAGCTTGACAATGCTTTTGACCCTTCTCGACAAATCAGCCCCTTTTCCATAGTCCAGACTAAGCTCCATGTGGTATTTAAGAACATGTTTCAAAGTCCCTCCAAAATTACGAGCCCCCACAACCCCAAACATCTCATGGCCCATTGCCAGACTTGAAAAGTCCAAACCTCCCTGCATAGGGGGGTCTATCCAACCCCCCATTTCCAAACCAAACCAAACTTTATCTTTCCAAATCTGGCTTTTTCCAAGTTCATTTGTCAAATCCAAGAATTCATGTTCCTGCTGGGCCACAACTCCCTCCATCTCTGGCGCCCAAGATTCAGCAACATCCTCTTCCCTCATCTGTTCTGTCCGGGCACACTCCTGATCTGATTCCTGGCCGGGCTCTATATAATTTCCCACTGCCTGTCCAAAATTTCTGATCGCATCAGTCATAAAGTCCGTCTTCTCATGTAGCTGTTCCAGTAGGGCACTTGTTTTACAGAAAGCACACAACAGAGCTTCTGAATACATTGTCCTGCAAGGTCAGAAGTCTATTCCCACGATCGTAATCTGTAACAGCTGCAAGCTCCCCGATTCAGAATTAGTTACAGTTTCACAGGCTCCCTCTAGGGGAAGAACTGTTTGTTCTTTTCTTTTAAAGACAGATCTAACAACAAAGTTTCCTTTTTCAGATATTTTGTCAATATTTGTTCCTTTAAAATGCGAAGGGGAACAATGGAATCACTATGTTTCTCTTCTTTTAGCTATCTGTCAGAAACGTTTGTCTCTGGTCAATGAGCTTCAAAAAATGTCAGTCCTGACACCCGCTCCAGGATCAAGACAGTGGAAAGTTACTTTGCATTACACTCACTTCTGCAGGTTTAAACAGTCCGGAAAAAATCCCCCCTCTTCTCCTGCTTCCGAAGGGGGTTCAACAATTTTAAATGATGAAAGTTAATCCTTTACAAGCGATTTTCAGAACTCTAGTTTGCCATGTCTTTGCTTTAATCTATCTACAAAGAAACGGAAGGCTGACTTTCTGTTTAGACCTTCCCGTTTCAGTGCCAAATTAAAATAAACTTTTAAGTCCAATTTTCCTTTCAGCTCACAAATCCTTATTTAGAGTCCAATTGTCCGAAATTTAAGTACTCACAGGTGATTATTTTAAAAGCCAAATTGTCCCAGGAAAAAGGCAGCGCTCTCCGGCAACGGCTGTGCGGCTACACTCCACGGAAGAAGCAGTTGACTCTCAGCACCGCGCCACTTCCCCCTCTTCGCTCCGGAGCCCGTTAGTGGATTCCTTTGCGGGTTGGGGGGGCGCTAAAGGTGCCCGCCGAGTCCCATGGTCACAGGCTTCATCCGCCTGTGATTTTTGAGTGGGTCCCCGCTTCGCTGTAGCGGAAAAGACCCGTTTCTCATGGAGCTGGTCCCTCCAGATCAGAGGGAGTCCGCCATTACCGATGGCGCCACCCCGGAAGTCTGATGTCACTACTGTGATCCTCCTTATATATACAGAATAGAATAATCAGGACCAGAAGGAGTGAAGTTGCAACAATTATATAAGGTAGCAGGTACCAGAACATACCTTTAGGCGAGATATAGCCTCCCGCTCGGCCGCACCCAGTGGACTTATTAGTGGTCCCCAGGTTCTGGTCGAGCTGGTGAGGTCAACTCACACTGTATACACTCTGCAACTGCTACCTTGAAGGGACCTGTGGGTGGTGGAGGGGAAAAAACTACAGTGACCAGTATAGCGCAGGGAAATGCCCCTTGGGGAGGTGGGTAGGAGAAGCTGCGTATGGCTCTCCTTGGTTCCCCTGGCATGTACTCTTCCCCTTGTATGTGAAACTATTGTCTCGGACCTGCTTGTGCCCAATCTGGTATGTAGAATTCCCAAAGAAAGAAAGGGATGTAACAACCGTATGCAGTTACCCAATCCACCCACTTGTCACGAATGTCCCACCTTTTATCTACCCTTGTTATTGTTATTTGTACTAAGGGTTTATATGCAAAGTCTGGCTGAAATCTGGGATTGACTGATATTTTAACTGGTAGGGGTCCTCCCATACGCTGGTGCAGCTCCCAAATCTTCCGGTGTGCGTAGACTCACTGGCTTCCGGGTGCAGTGAGAGCAGACCTGTAGTCCCGTTGCCCGTGCTCCTGCCCGCTTCCGGAGAGGCCAGGTGCAGGGGTTCCTGGTGAACTTCAACTTCAGAGGGTCAGACGGGTTCAGCTCACAGTTCCAATGACCCTCAGACTGCTTCAGACGAGAATGATGAATCCACGGGGTTACTTCCGCTACCTTTACCGCTGTAGGCGTGGCCAGCAGAACTGTGTAGGGACCTCTCCACCGAGCCGTCAGTGGTTCGCTTTTCCACTCTCGCACCCAAACCTGGTCTCCCGGGCGGAAAGGATGGACTGGATTGGCCAAGCTGATGGGAGTGCGTTCGAGACACCACCTGTTTAAATCAAGAGAAATACGACAAAGAGCCTGGATTTGCTCTGCTGTTATCTGCCCCCCCACCTGAGTTAAATCTGCTGTTATTCCCGTGGCTATTGGAGGAGGTCTCCCATACAAAAGTTCGAACGGGGAAAGTTTCAGTCTCTTTGTTGGTGAACATCTGATCCTAAACAAAGCTATAGGCAACAAGTCTACCCATTTACAATGAGTTTCCTGGCACAATTTTGCTAACTGTGTTTTGAGAGTCTGATTCATCCTTTCTGTTTTTCCTGAGCTTTGAGGTCTATAGGCCGCATGTAGTTTCCATTGTATTTGCAAGGCTTTGCATACACCATCCACTATTGATGCAACGAAAGCTGGAGCATTGTCACTGCCTATACATCTTGGTAGACCAAACCTTGGAATGATTTCTGTTAGGAGGCATTTTACGACTTCCCGGGCTTTTTCTGTTCTAGCGAGATAAATTTCAGGCCAGCCCGTGAGAGAGCATGTGAAGACCAAAAGAGCTTTATACCCTCTTGCCTTAGGCATTTCCGTGAAATCCACTATTAAATTCTCCATTGGCATTAAGCCTGTTTGCTGTATTCCTGGTGGAGGTACTGGGCCTTGCTTGGGGTTGTTTTTTGCACACAGAAGGCATGCACGTGATACTGCTTCAGCCAGCTGGGATATCCTAGTTATGTAAAATTGTCTATTCAGGCTTTCCCGCAATGCTGTGGCCCCATAGTGAGTGGACTCATGATATTGTTTTACTATGTCCCTGCCTAAGGCTTCTGGGACAAATACTCGCTGGTCTGGTAGGATAAACCATCCATCCTGTGGTGGCCCTCTTGTAGGGCCCATTTTGCTTCTGCCTCCGTGTAAATGGGTTTTATTTGCTCTACATCAACTGCTGTAGGAAAGGAGATAAAGCAAATCCTCTGTGGCCTTTTTATAAGTCTCATAGCTATCACATCCAAGCAATAAATCATCCAGGAATTGAAGAAGAATCGTTTTCCCAGGTACTGAAGGGAATTTAGACAAATCCTGGGCTAGGGCTGTTCCAAAAAGTGTTGGCGAATTCTTGAATCCCTGAGGTAATCTGGTCCACGTTAACTGGGTTTTTGTCCCCTTGTAAGGATCCTCCCATTGAAATGCAAATATTGGCTGGCTCTGAGATGCAACGCGGCAACAGAAAAATGCATCTTTTAAGTCCAACACTGTAAACATGGTTGCCTCTGATGGAATCAATCCTAGGAGATTATAAGGATTGGGCAAACAGGGATGCAGAGTCTGTATTAAATTATTAATCCTTTTCAGATCTTGGACTGGGCGAAACTGATCAGAATTAGGCTTACGTACTGGAAAAAGTGGAGAGTTTCAGCTGGATTGGCACTTTACCAAAAGTCCATATTGCAATAACTTGTCTATGTGCATCTGCATTCCCTCTGCTGCTTGTCTTGGGATAGGGTATTGCCGAGTTGCTATTGGCTTTGCCCCTGGCTTTAGGTTTATTACGAATGGTACTATGTTCTTTGCCATGCCTGGTGGGTTGTCCTCTGCCCATACTCCAGGTGGGGCTCTCAGATTTTTAGGAATCTGTGATTTTTCCTTTTGGGAGTCCTTACTTGATAAAGCCATCATCATTTTCCAGGCCTGTTCTCTAGGGACCTCTACTGTAACAATCCCTGTAGCAGCCTGGGGTAATTTCATTTCTGCCCCTTTTGGTGTGAAGGTAATTTGGGCTTGAACCTTTGATAGAAAGTCACGTCCCAGCAAGGGGATGGGGCATTCAGGCACATACAGAAATTGATGTGTAAGGGTTTTCCCTCCAATCTGGCATTCTTGAGGTTGCAAAAACGGTTTAAGGACCCTGTTGCCCGTGGCCCCCACAATTGTTACTGCTTGGTTGCTTTTCGCTTTTAACGGCTTCGTGAGCACCGAAAATTGTGCTCCAGTGTCAATCATGAAATTTACTAAGGCCCGAAAAAGACCCAATATGGAGGCTAAATGGCCAAAATATTGGGAAATACTAGAAAAAGATGGAGACAATTGGAAATTGCAGAGTTTGGAGAAAATGAAAGACAAAGTGCGAGATTGGTTACATTACGCTCAGATTAAAGAAGTTTTTAAAAATGATAAGAAACTAGGGTTCCAGGTGGAGAAATCGAAATTAGAAACAGAATTGTTAGAACCAAAGACTAAGGTACTTTCAAGGATGTATAACTTGCTGTTGGAATGGAATACACAAGATGAAATGGTTAAATCGGCTATGATAAGGTGGGCACAGGACATTGGGTATAATATTATGTTTGAGGACTGGGAAAAGTTGTGGAGTAATGGATTGAAATTTACTGCATGTAACGCTCTGAAAGAAAATGTAATGAAAATGATTTATAGATGGTATATGACCCCAGTTAAACTTGCAAAAATTTACCACCTGTCTGATAATAAGTGTTGGAAATGTAAAGAGTGTGAGGGAACGTTCTTCCACCTCTGGTGGACCTGCCCTAAAGTGAAGGTGTTCTGGGAAATGATTTATAATGAATTGAAAAAGGTATTTAAATATACCTTTACCAAGAAACCAGAGGCTTTCCTTCTGGGTATTGTCAGCCAAGGGGTGGCAAAGAAGGACCAGACATTTTTATGTATGCAACAACAGCAGCAAGGATACTTCTTGCAAAACATTGGAAAACTCAAGATTTACCCACACTGGAAGAATGGCAGATGCAACTGATAGACTACATGGAACTGGCTGAAATGACCGGCAGAATCCGTGACCTGGGAGAAGAGAGAATCGAGGAGGATTGGAAGAAATTTAAGAACTATCTACAAAAATATTGTGATTTGAGTGAATGCTAAATAAGATGCTAGACTAAATAACTGAGCACCACTTAACTTAGAAGTTTTTAAGAAAATAAGTAAGACTGTGAAAGTTTAACTCTTTATGAGAACTATAAGATTATGAAACATTGAAGAGATATAAGATTTTAAATAAGATGATAAATTGCTGACAAAATGTTATAACGATGAAAGTGGGAGCGGGGATGTGAGGAAGTCCAAAGAAAATGTGAAACTATGTTAAGACAAATGTTATATTGTTTATTATGTTTATTCTTATTGTAAAACCCAATAAATTGCTTTAAAAAAAAAAAAAAAATCATGAAATTTACTAAGCGGCTCCCCAGTTTGACCGAGACCATGGGCTCTTGGGAGCCTAAAGAAAGAGTTGAGCCCGGTCTGTCCTATGCGTTCTCATTCTCATATTCCTCCAATTGCGCTAATCCAACAAAATCTCTGCTACTTCCTCTGTTCCTCACATATCTTCCTGCTTGCATCCTTCCTTGCTGCGATCCCCATCCACGTCCACGTTCCCTCTGTTCCCTGAATCCACCTTCTCCCTCTGTTTCCCTTGCATCAGGGCACTCCTGTTTCCAATGACCTTCCTTCCTGCAAATTGCACACTGATTCCTTCCCAATGGCAGTCCCCTTCCTCTTCCTCTTCCACGTGCCCTATTTGAACCTCTCCTTTGGGCACCTGTATCAAATGCTGAGCCTTGGCTGATGGCTGCAGCCAAAAACACTGCCTTTTGCTTCATTTCCCGAACTCTGTCCTTCTTAACCTCATTTTCCCTGTTCAAGAAAACCTTTTGAGTGATTGCTAGGAGCTGTTCCATTTGCAATGTTTCAAAGGCGTCTAACTTTTGTAATTTCCTCTTTATGTCCGAAGCACTCTGAGCCACAAATGCCGCATTTACCATTTGCTAACTTTCTGGGGCTTCTGGATCAAAAGGGGTATAAATTCTATATGCCTCCATTAAGCGTTCCAAAAAATTGGAGGGAGATTCATCACTAAGTTGAACAATTTCAGAGACTTTAGAAATATTTGTAGGCTTCCTGGCAGCACCCTTTATAGCTTTTAAAACTTCCTGCCGATAATTGTCCAAGGCGTCCTTATCCCTATCAGGGTCCCACCCTGGATCTGAAAGAGGATATCTGGCACGAACCCAAACATCCGGATTATTTTCAGAATTGGGCACCTGGGCTTTGAGATTGTTGTCTGCAGTGGTATTTATTCTTCTCCTTTCCTCAGAGGTGAAAAGGGTCATTAAAAGATGCCTGCAATCCTGCCATGTAGGCAGATGGGTTACCATAATGGAAGCAACTAAATCCAGCATGGCCTGAGGTTTTTCCGAAAAAGGTACCGTATGTGTTTTCCAATTCAATAAATCTGTTGTTGTAAAAGGGACATATTGGAGTGTGACTGTTCTTGCAGGCCCAGGGTCCAGTTGGTCTGCCATTGGCATCCACAGGACGTGGATCTTGGGGCCCTAAGATTGCCCTCAGGGGAAGCATCGGCGCTGGTGCCCCCTTGTTATTTCGCAAATAATAACCTCCCTTAGAAAAACTAGGCGAGGCCAGGCTTTGAGATGTGCTAGGCAAATCAGTTTCTCTCATTTTTAGGACCAATTTCTGTCCAGAATCTGTAATAGCATCCATCAGTTTCCATAATTTTGAACTGTCATGGCTTTCTGGGGTTTTCAAAGAATTAATTTGTTCTCCCCATGCTCCAGACATTTGAAATGTGCTGGTTCCTCCTTCCGCTCCCTCTGTCTGTGTCTGCCAGGCTGACATGTCCTGGTTGAATTTTTCCTCGGGAGGGGAGGGTAACGTGCTTTGATCTAAAGCTGCAGTTTGTTTTGGCTGGGAAGGCAAATCTGGAAGGCTAGGCACATCCAGCGATGCTTGAGGAGGTGGGGCAGCCTGTAAGGCACTATTCGTGGCTTGTGGAGAGCTATTTATAGCTGGCTGAGATCGGCTGGGCATAGGGATCTGTTGGGTTTGTCCTGCCGGTATATTTTGAGGTGCCAATACTTGCCCTGAAGGCGGCTGTATCGCTTGATTTCTGTTGCTATAGTTATATGGAGGGGAGGGGATTCCCTCTTCCTCTGGAGGAGCAACATAAATTTCCCTGTCAGTTGCAGAAGAATTTGTGGTTTTCCTGGCTCCCTGCCTCACAGCGAAAATCTCACAGCTGCTACCACTTCCCTTTTCCATTCTGAGCCACTCCGGATTTTTTAAACATATTGCAATCCATCTATTGATATAATAATATTGCTCCTTATATAGATCCGGTCTTTGCATTATTGAATCCAAAACTGCTCGACATAATTCTATTTTGAAGGTCCCTTCACGTGGCCACTTTTTAACCTGGGCGGGCCAATCCTGTTGGCAATATTTCTTTAAAATCTCCTTACTCGGTCTGACCTCTCCTGGTTCTTCTGGAAAGGCTCTTTTAAAATTCTCTATCATACATTCTAGGGGTGTACAGGCTTGAATGTTTTTTGAACATTTCCCCCCCATTGTTCTTTGCAAAAAGCTTTCCCCTTTCACCAGGCAAAACACTTTCAGCCAGGCAGCTTTCAAAAATAGAACAAGAAAAAACCACAGCACACTTCCCCCTCACTTTTCTAAAGCCCGTCTCCACTTATTCACAGTCTCTTTTTCCTTTCTTTAAACACTCTTCCTTTTTTAACACAGTCCTTACTCATTCAACCACAAGTCCCGGGACGCTCTTTCATTCGATCATACACACACAGCCCTTTTCGCCCCCCTTTGCCTGCGGCGAAACAACCTGGCAGAGAAACACACACACACACACACACAGCGCTTTTTAAAATCTCCCTCACCCCCCACAGCTGTTTTTTCTCCCAACTTTTTCCGGCAGAAACCTTTTTCCTATCCCTTGGCTGACCCAGCTTCTCCTCCCTTTCCCTTTCTTTTGGGATCCTTTCCCCTTTAACGGGAGGTTACTAGTGGGTCGCTCAGAGTGGTGATCAAGCACTCATTATTATCTTAACTCACCGTGAGTTCCTTTCGTGGTGCGCCTTTCCTGTTGGCTCACGTTCAGATTCTCCCTCGGTTGTTGCCTCTGCCCTGACGGGAGTCCACGCCGAAGGCGGTTGCCTCTCTCCTTCGGAAATGATGTCCGATTGGCGCCGGGGAGGTGAAACAAGGTCCCCCGACGTGTCCTCCCGCCCAAGAGCCGGGCAAGGCTCTTTTTGGGTAAAAAAATACCCTACTGGCCTGTATGATCTGAGCACGGCACCAAATGAAGCACGTGAACGTAAGCAGGTACTCGCTTGGTGTTAAATAAGGATCAGGCAGACTCAGCAATGGAGAATAAGAAGGTGAAGTTTATTGCCAGGCAATAAGGACCCAGTTTGGAATCTCTTCCAAAAGGAACTGGGACCCCGAGTGACAGAAATCCAGGGGTCTTATACCTGAGCAGATCACAGCAAATCATAGATCATGAGACAACCATGAGGGACTCACGATATTGTCAGCGAGAATTAGCCAATTAGCAAGCTCCTTGCCACGCTGCCAGCTCCTGGTCAAGCACTGGTCAAGCACAGAGTTCCAGTTCTGCTTTCCATTGCTTGCAGTGACGCTCTGTCTAACCTCTCCCCTAGTTATGACAGGACAGGGAGTTTTGGAGATTTTGTGGTTTTGCTCTTCCTGTTCTGTGGATTAATTTAGCCTGTATCTGAGGGGATTTTGTACCAGTATCTCTGATTCACGTCTTCCCCTTGTCCAGGGTACACGGATGTTTGTAGGGGAAAGGTCGGCTCCTAACTTTGCTGTTTCAAGCAGTTTGCAGTTAGCTAAGGCACAGCTTCCCTTTGATTCAAAATGGATTGTAAAATACTGTAAGCCCTGATTATGTGTGAGCATATATGAATATATTGATTACTGATAACTGATTATATGGATAGCATAGGGGTAGCCCTTCTTCCTTGCCTCAGGTTTAGTATATTAAAGATGGAGAAAGATCCTGAGGGAAGAGACATTATAATTCAGGGAACAATGGCAGGGGAAGAATACACTATGATTAATATTTATGCTCCTAATGAAAATCAGGTGATTATTATTTTTTTATAAAGTGCTTAAGGAAATGACAGATATTCAAAAGGGCTTTATGATTATGGCAAAAGATTTCAATATGGTATTAGATAAATGATTGGATAAGTCAAATCCTACTCCAGAGGAAAGATGTAATAACATTGCAGGCTTAGCTAAAATTATGAAAAGGAAAGATATGAAAGATGTTTGGAGAGTGATGAGGGGAGGATAGAAGAAATATTTGTTCTTCTCAGAAGTGCATAAGACCTACTCAAGGATTGATTATATATTCATTAAAAAATGATATCTAAAATAACGAATATGGAAATTGGAATAATAAAGGTAACCAACCATGCATTGGTTAATATGGTATTAAATATAAAGAAAGATTACAAGGAAGCCAGAAGATGGAGGTTAGATATGAGGATCTTCAATAACAGTCAAACAGTAAATAAGATAGTGAAAGAATTATTAGACATACAGGAGAGTAATGAGAAAGGGCAAATTACTCAAGCAATAATATGGGATACAATGAAAACAGTGATGAGGGGAATTGGTATTAGAGAATCTAGTAAATTAAAACAACAACAACAAGAAGAGATGAAAAAGTTAGAGGAAGAAATTAGGACACTGGAAAATCAATATATCAATAAAGATAAAAGAAGTTATGCACAATTACAGGAAAAAAGGAAGGAGTTCGAAAATGAAGATATGGAAAAAGTGCAGAGAGATTTGATATTCCTGAAAAGAGAATTTTTTTGAACATAGTAATTAAAATTCCATATTGCTGGCTAGAGCTTTACAGTAAAAAAAAGGAAAGAATTTAATTAGCCTAATAAAAGATAAAACGGGTAATATTCACAATTTGATGAAAGGTAAGTTGAGAGTATTTCAGGAGTTTTACTAAGAGTTATATTCAGCAGGTAACAATTCTATGGGGAAGATGGAAGAATATATTGAGGCACACTGGAAGATAAAGCTAGAATGAGCCAGTGTGGTGTAGTGGTTAAGAGCGGTAGTCTCGTAATCTGGGGAACCGGGTTTGCGCCTCCGCTCCTCCACATGCAGCTAACCTTGGGCTAGTCACACTTCTTTGAAGTCTCTCAGCCCCACTCACCTCACAGAGTGTTTGTTGTGGGGGAGAAAGAGAAAGGAGAATGTTAGCCGCTTTGAGACTCCTGAAGGGGAGTGAAAGGCGGGATATCAAATCCAAATCCAAGGTAGAGATAGATAGGTTATGGAACATCCATTTTCAGAAAAAGACATAGAGGAAGTTATAGGGCAGTGATGGAAAACCTTTTAGAGATCAAGTGCCCAAACTGCAACCCAAATCCCACTTATTTTTCGCAAAGTGCCAACACGGCAATTTAACCTGAATACTGAGGTTTTATTTTAGAAAAAACAACTCATACATTAACAGCTTTTGTCTTAAAAGAAAAACACAATAACAGAGCTTTCAATGATATAAACAACTTTTTATTGAAAGGTAAAAGTTTGCATTTGGCATGCTTTTGAACAATTAATGTGAAACCTCAGCCTCTCAGCAGCAGCAGGAGGCGGAAGGCGGCTGCTCTATGGGAAACTGGCTTCCGGCACCAGGTCCATTGGCAGACCAACTCTGCATTCCAAAGTTGTCTACAAACGTTGCATGAAGGCTGGCAACATTAACCTTACTGTGTGGGAATCCCAGCTCTACCTCTCTTTCAAATCAGAACCAGTGAAGGTGGTGAATGTCCTGTGTGAGTGTCTGGAGGCGGTTAGAGGACAGATGGCAGCGAAGAAATTGAGGTTGGATCCTGACAATACAGAAGTACTGTTTTGGGGGGACAGGGGGCAGGCAGGTGTGGGGGACTCCCTGGTCCTGAATGGGGTAACTGTGCCCCTGAAGGACCAGGTGTGCAGCCTGGGAGTCATTTTGGACTCACAACTGTCCATGGAAGCGGAGGTCAATTCTGTGTCCAGGGCAGCTGTCTACCAGCTCCATCTGGTACGCCGGCTGAGACCCTACCTGAGGTCCAGCTCCAAGGGCCTTCTGGCAGTTCCCTCCCTGGGAGAAGTGAGGTTACAGAGAACCAGGCAGAGGGCCTTCTCAGTAGTGGTGCATGCCCTGTGGAACTCCCTCCCATAAGATGTCAAGGTAATAAACAACTATTTGACTTTTAGAAGACATCTGAAGGCAGCCCTGTTTAGGGAAATTTTTTTATGTTTAAGGCTCTATCGTGTTTTTAATATTCTGTTGGAAGCCGCCCAGAGTGGCTGGGGAAACTCAGCCAGATGGTCAGGGTATAAGTAATAAATTATTATTATTATTATTATTATTATTATTATTATCCCTTGCAGAAGGCCTGGAGACAAGCAGCCAGGTTGTCACAGGGGCTGGGTTGCCCCCAAGATTGAAGAGGCCCGGTGAGCGCATGTGTCATAACAAGTGTGATGTGTGATGTCACGGTGCAGCCTTCTGCTAGGCCGTGCTGGTCCCCCACAGAATCAGGAGATGCCTCAGGGTACAGTGCCCCTGGTGTGAGGTTGCACCAACATGCACAGTGTTTCCCGATACCACTGCAAGTAAAAGGAAGGCCCGCTGGGTCCCACAGCAGGCCTTGGAATATTGAGAGGGCCTGGTTCCCTCCTTGACATTTTTTTGGGCGGCACTGGCCCCTTGGCCCCTCCTAGATGATGCCACTGCAGGTTGTGTATTTACAGCAGTGACCAGAGGAGGAATGACCGCTGGGAGGAGTGCAGAAAGAAGAAACACCATGGTGCACCTGCATCTGCACAACCAGGCAACTTCATATGCCCCAGTTGCAAAAAAGAATGTCTCTGCCATATTGGTCTCGTGTGATGGCCTGGGAATCGGATTCAGAGGCTGAACCTGAGGAATCCCAGCCTGCACAGGAGTCCCTGCCTCCAGGACCAGCTGAGCCGGGGCTGGGGCTTGAACCTGAAGGGCCCTCACTTGTGTTGGATCCTCAGGAGCAGACACCAGCTGAATCTGCTCTGGCTCCGGAGGTGATCGAGGACCCATTGCCTGCAGGTGCTCCACTCTCAGCCCCGTCAGGGGAAGGTGAGGTTGCCTCTGGGTCCAGTAACCCTCCAGCCTCTCCTGAGCTGCAGTGGCTCAGGGGAGAGAGGCGGAGGGAACTAAGTACTCACAGGAGGAGTGCTCGCCTCCAGGCCAGGAGAGGCGAGTCACTTGTGGACCGGGACCGCCCTATGCCTTGGGGCAGATAAAAGCCAGCCAGCCCCAGTCCAAGGTTGCGGGAGCAACAGTGTTGGTAACCTGTTCCTGCTGGCACCCTGTCCTGCTCTTCTGCCAGAGTTCCTGACCACACCCGACGCCTTGCCTTGGACCCCGCTTCAGCCTTGACGGACAGCCTCCATACCACACCCTTGACCTCGGACTGGACTCGTACCACGCCGCACGGTAACCCCCTGGGATCAGCACATCTCTACAGTCACAGCAAGCACTGTAACTCTGACATGGTTTGACTTCACCCCTGAAGGTGAAGTCTTCCATTTTCTCCCAAGACAGATGAATGCCAACAGCACATCATAAACAAGAGGCTAATTTCTTGGATTTTTGTTTCTTTCTTCTTGTAGAAAACAAGCATCCACGCTGCAAATCCTGTGCCATTAACTCGCCCCTTTCCTCTTCGGCAATGCAATGCTTGGTTGTTTCTGCATTGGATGTATATACTGCCTTATAAACACAGAATCAAGTCAGAATTAATAACTATAACCACCCTGCCATCCAGTTTGTGAATTTGTTCCATTGTTATGATAATACTGTTACAAAAGTTGGGTGTTCCCACCCCCTCTGCCAAGCCATAGCAAGATTTCAGCGGGGTTCCAGGCACTCACCCAGGGTCTGTGTTCCTTTTTTTGTGTGACAAAACAATAATCATAAATAAATAGGAATAGAAATGTGCACCCCACCACCAACACCATTCCCTTGTAACTATCCAATCTCCCAAAATTTCAACACCTCTTGCAATGGTTTGACCCCTTTCTGTTTTAACAGTACAAATTTTACAAACATCCTCCATATCTCCTCAAAATCATTTCTCCCTCATATTCCCCATCTTACCTGAATGGCCATGTTAATTTTGATGGGATACTGCCAGGGAGACGGAGGCATCAGGCAGGCCCCCAGTCCTCTCCGGACGATCACCGGTCTCCTGTGGAACAGCATCAGAGACATTCCAAGACCCGTGCACACCCTTTCAGCAGAGTCTCCACAACGAAAGATGCAGACAGGAGAGCATATTTACAGCTTTATTCAATGTAGTTCAGAACAAAGGAAAAACATGAATGCTTGCCTCTGTGTTCAGGAAAAAAGCCAGAACACAAAAGCTATATACAACGGAAGTTCCCAGCAGACAGTGCTGGGAGTAAACAGGCATGTGATACACAACAGTCATGCCTGACCCTTTTAAGGTGGAATAAAACTATATTCTAACAAATTTATCATTAATAGCTATATCCCATACCTCTTTATACCATTCTTCCATTTTATATTCACCTTGCCCCTTCCACTTCCTAGCTATCATAATTTGTGCAGCTGTCAATAAATTTGTGAGCAAGTCCTTCATAGCCTGTGAACCTTTCACCCCATCGTAATTGATAATAATGCTACCTCTGGCCTTTTGGTCAGTTTTAACCCAGTGATTTCTGTTATCTCCTTAAACACCTTTTGCCAAAATTATTTTGCATATTTACACCCCCAACACATGTGAACATAATTCCCTGTTTCCTGGCATCCCGTCCAACATAACACCGAATATTCATTCTTTGTACTTAACACCAGTAAGATTAAATCAAATAATCTCCAAATTAATTTATAATAATTTTCTTTTATTCTTATAAACAACATTTTTAACGTATGATTCTCCCATATTTCCCCCCAGCTTTGACTATCTAGCTGCCCTGTTGTCTCTTTTCCCCACACTTTTTAAAAAAAATATCTTTTTGATCCTCCATTTCTACTAATATTTTATAAATTTCACTGGTTTCCCCTTTCATAACTGTATTTTCTTCTTTATCTTCCCTTTTTATAATCATTTTTTCAAATTTTGTATATTTTTTGCAATTCTTGTTTTCCCTTAACCACTTTTTTGTCCATTACTCCAGCTGTATACAGTTAAACCAAGTTATCATGCTTCCTGTTAGAGCTTCTGTTATTTGTTATTTGCTTCTCATTTTCTCCACCCAATTCTTTATTTTAAGTATTTTATTCTCTTTTGCCTCTTTTTCAATTTTCTTTTTAAAATTTACTGGGAAGTCTTCTAACATCACCACTGGGGTTAGTGGGGAATTTGCTGGTATCAGTTTTCCTTTATATTTCACCCATGTCTCAATGATATTTCTTAATAAGGGATTATATTCTGCCACCATTGCCTATTTGATTTGATAAAAATATATTCACTAACTTCTCCCTCATTTTCTGTCTACTACTCTCTAACCATTCTAACTCTCCTTGTTTTGTTATCCCATCTCACTGGTCAACAACAAATTTGTTGTCTGCATTTTTTTCAGTTGATTTAGGATGAATCTGATGCGCTGAATCCAAAAATCACATTGGTTTTGCTCAGTCAGGTCAAGTTTTTGAGCTATGGCCACATGTCAATTTTTTTACGTTTTTGTTCACATGTACGCTTGTGTGGAGCATTTTAGAAGAAGTTGGTGGGGTAAAATGCCATGTCGAATAATTTTTTTGATTGGAAATGATTATTTTAATGACAAGAAGTATTCAGGTCCAATAGTTCTGGGTGATTATGTTGAAAAGGGATCAGTTTGAAGTCATAAAACCTCGAAATCTTCCATAAATTGGTGCGGCAAAGCATAAAGTTATTTTGGTATTAAACTTGGTGACCAGGATAAAGCTTGGGCACCACACATGGTGTGCAAGGCATGCACCGAGACTCTATGTGGGTGGACCAATGGCAAGAGGAGTCTGAACTTTGGAATTCCCATGGTTTGGAGGGAGCCGACAAACCATGTCACTGATTGCTACTTCTGTGCTGTTGATGTGACTGGGATCAACAGAAAGAACCGGAGCAGCCTCAAGTATCCTGATCTTCAATCAGCACGTCGTCCTGTAGCTCATTGTGATGAAATTCCAGTGCCTATCTTCGGAGAACTTCCTGACATTAGTGACGAAGATGCCTCCAGTGTTGAAGGACATGAAGAAGAAGTGGTTCTTGAAGATGATACTCCACATCCATTTTCCAAAAAGGAGTTAAATGATCTAGTTCGCGACCTCAGCTTGTCAAAGGACTCTGCTGAACTGTTGGCATCCAGATTGAAGGAAAAAAACCTCCTCTCTGACAGTGCTCGCATCAGCTTCTTCCGCAACAGGCATCAAGAGTACCTCCGTTTTTTTCTCGGAAGAGAAGGACTTGGTGTACTGTGCAGATATTGCGCAGCTTCTGCTCAAGCTTGGAGTGCCACAGTACGAACCCAAAGATTGGAGACTGTTCATTGACAGCAGCAAGCGATCACTGAAATGTGTTCTGCTACACAACGGCAACCAGTTTGCCTCTATACCCCTGGCTCACTCGACTACACTGAAGGAGAACTAGGAAGCGGTGAAGTATGTGCTGGAGAAAATTGGTTATGATCAGCATAAGTGGTTTATTTGTGTTGACCTGAAGATGGTGAACTTTTTGTTGGGACAACAGTCTGGCTTCACCAAGTACCCATGTTTTCTGTGCATGTGGGATAGTAGGGACCGTGCTCAGCATTACACGAAGAAGGACTGGCCTGTGCGGGAGGAATTGGTGCCTTACAAAAAAAGGAATGTCATCAACGACCCTCTGGTGGACAGAGACAGAATACTCCTCCCACCGCTGCACATCAAGCTCGGCTTAATCAAGCAGTTCACCAAGGCTCTGGACAAGGATGGTGACTGCTTCACTTACTTGTGCCAGGCTTTTCCAGGATTGACCATGGAGAAGTTGAAAGCTGGCATCTTTGACGGTCCTCAGATCCGTCAGCTCATCAGAGAACCAGAGTTCGGAAACTCAATGAACGAAGTGGAACTGGAAGAGTGGAAGGCATTTGTTCTGGTAGTGAAGAACTTTCTTGGCAACAATAAGGCCAGAAACTACTCAGAAGTTGTCAACAACATGCTGACTGCCTTCAGAAACCTGGGCTGCAACATGAGCGTCAAGATGCACTACCTATTTTCACATCTGGACCGGTTTCCTGAGAACCTGGGTTCAATGAGTGACGAGCAGGGGGAGAGATTCCATCAGGACATGAAAGAGATGGAGACCAGGTCTCAGGGTCGCTGGGACGCAGTCATGATGGCTGACTACTGTTGGACTCTGAAGAGAGACCTCCCTGCTGCTGAGCATTCCAGGAGTTCCAAGAAATGGAAGTTCAAGCCCTGAAGTTTGAAAAATGGTGAAGCAACATGCAATTTACGTGTACTTACCTTTATCAATGCCCACCATTCAGTTTACAGTAATCGATGTTTCTATCAGGTAATCAATATATGTTGTTGGAAAAAAATTTTTTTATCTTAAAAACATATTTAGGATGATATGTGTTGACAAAAATCAGCTGATAATGCCACAAAAATGTAATTGATTTTGTCACAAGATCTGATTTTTTCAAATCAACATAACACAAAAACCTGACCTGATGGAGAGAAATGGATGCCATTTCCTGATTCAGCAGTGCAAAAATACCCTAAATCAGTTGTAGAAATCTAGACAACATTCAAAAAGTAAAAAATTGTTGCCCAGTGTTATATATCTTAACTGATTTGCTATATAATATAACTTTATGTTGGGGAGACTCAGTCCACCTGTTTTCTGAGGTTTATACCATCTTTTATTAATTCTAGGTTTTTTATGCCCATTACAAAATTTATTGATAATACTTTGCCAGCCCTTTATCTCCGTCTCCAATATCTTAATTGGTAACATTCTAAATAAAAAAAATATTCTAGACAAAATTTTCATTTTAATTATTGCTATTCTTCCAAACCACAAAAGCTTAATTTTCTTATATTCCTCAAGCTTTTCCTTAATTTCTCTCTTTAATGTGTTTAAATTTTCTTGTTCTAAATTTTCTACAGTTCTTGTTATATTTATTCCCAAGTACTTTATTACATTTCTTAATTTTATATCTATTTTGATTTCCTTCAAAAAAATTCATTTTTCATCTCCATCATAGGTAAATATCATCATCCCTAAACAAAATGAAAAAAATCCCTTCCAGTAGCACCTTAGAGACCAACTAAGTTAGTTATTGGTATGACTTCTGTTTCAGTGTATCTGAAGAAGTGTGCATGCACACGAAAGCTCATACCAATAACTAACTTAGTTGGTCTCTAAGGTGCTACTGGAAAGGATTTTTTCATTTTGTTCGACTATGGCAGACCAACATGGCTACCTACCTGTAACTATCATCATCTCTGATTTGGACCAATTAATTTGCAACCCTGTTATTTCTCCAATTCCCCCCCCCCCCAAATGTGCCTCTATTACCTGCATATTTTCCAACGGAATTTCGATTGTTAGCAAGGTGTCATCGGCAAATAAGCTTATTTTCTCTTTTCTTTTATTGCCTTTTCCTTTTATATTTCCATATTCTCTGATTACATTGGCCAGAGTTTCAATGACCAACACAAATAACACAAGTCCCAGGATCCATGCCCAGCCTCTGAAAACAACATGAGCGCTTGCTTGGGGATAGCGTTACGTATCCGAATGGGACCAATGCCCCACTCGGCCCTTCCCTAGCCATGAGGGTGCTTTCTCGGTCCGGGCATCCTGCGTGGAATGGCCGAGCAAAAGGAGCCCTAAAGGCACTACAGCAGATGGGCCAGTTTGGGGATTTCGCCTCTTTACTGTCCTGCTCGTGCAGCATCCAAAACTGAGGGTTCACCATAATAATTGCTGGTGTTATTTCACAACCTGCTCGCAGAAAATACTAATTGCCACAATATGCTCCAGAAGCCTCTGTGCTATTGGGCACAATGAACTCGGGCCAAAGAATAGCTACGACCCCCGTTTTGGAGAGAGTCAGTGTCCTGGCGGGCATCGCATCCCATTCCGGCCATGCAGTTTCCTGCGCTGACCCGCTGTGCACATGGTGCTCCAGCTGCCCAGTTGAGCTGAGGACTTGATGCACCGCCCTCACCTTCTGTCGGCTCTGTGCTGGGGCAATGGCGCGTGTGCCCACAGAGAGAGCTCTGAGTGCCCCCTCTGGAATGTCATAGGTTCGCCACCACTGCCATAGAGCATGTCCTTGGGGATCCTGCCATCTTCCATTCTGTGGACATGATCAAGAGAGCATAGGTGTCTCTGAGAAAGAAGTGCAAACACGCTGCTTCCAGTTCCACTCTGCCTTAATGGAGGCAGCCCCCACAACAGCAGGAGATCATTGGCGAAGGAAAAACAAGGATGGTTGAGGGTATTTATCTTTGCAAATTCCCCCCAGGGATGGGGAGAATGGGCTTCACTTGCAATTTGTCTCAGTACCTGGCTTTCGTTCCTGCATGGAATGTAGGGGGCAGGGAGGCACTGAGTGCAAAAGCATTTTGCATGGCGAAAATCCTTCAGTGCCGCCATTAAGAAGCAGAGGTTCTTTCGTTAATTAGAGCTTAACTGGACTAAAGTACAGGCACGTGCTAGAAGAGATGAGATCACAAACTGCGGAACAAAACCAGCTGCAAGGACTTTAAGGTCTGAACTTGAGATAAGACTTCATTCAGTGCAAAAGACGGTGTGGGGGAGGGCAGACTACAGGTTTTTTATTTAAAGTTTTCTTCCCTACATTTATGATTCGGCAACCCTCCTCTGAATGTTCAAATTATATTTGTACAAGCGAGGATGGAAGAAATTGAATTATAGTTATGGAATATAACATCACATGGAACTGCGTGTGTAAAAAAAGGGAAAAGGGAAGGAAGCTCTATTTTGGAAAAGGTTTACGATGGAAACTTAGAGCTGACTCTTCCCCATCCTTTATTATTTATGAAGTGAACTGAATAACACTAAGAGGACTTGGAATTTAATTCAATTGGAAGTATAATTGCTCATATATCTTCAGCTGGAGGGAAGGATGAAAGGAGTCTGTGAACTGCCAAGGAACTGATAAGGTTCTTTACTGAGTCATCTGCAGTTCAACAGACTGCTCTTCTTCCCAGGAAAAGAGGAAAAATAGTGACAACAGGTTATTTATTGGGACAGAGTGACTTTTGCAGCTGTTGTTAAAGTTGCAAAACAACGAAGCACGGGACGGAGCAATGGAGAAATTTCTGGAACAACAATGGGATATCAGTTCCGTCAAAGACATGATGGATAAGAGCAACAACCGGGGGGAAGAAAGACATAACATCTTACAAGGACATGAAGAAACACCACAGACAGAATAACTGCCACACAAAGGAAGAACACGGATATAGTTTGAGTTTGTCACTTGTAGTTTTATAAATCATTTATTGTGTCAAGACCAATAGAAGTTATTAATATTGTAGTTGTTGCATAAGGAATTCTTATTATGACCGGAATGTAATGGAAATTAATAAGATTTCTGAACACAGAGATAAAGAAAATCATCAAACCATCAAATCTAGCATGCGGGGGGCCACTTTATCTAAATTATATAATTTGGTATTTGAACGATTGGTATTAATAATTGTATTATATATTTGTATTGCTATAATGAGGCTATAATTAGACTGTAATTGAAAACTAATAAAAATATTTAAAAAAAAGAAGTGCAAACATGCTGGAAACGTTGGCTTGGGAGAGCACATCTTTGTTTGAGACTCTGTCCTGCCATGTGATGCCCAAAATCTTCCTGACACAGTGCATGCAGGAGGTACTGAGATGTCGCTCCCGGCAGGTGTAAGTTTCCCACGTCTCATTACCATAAAGCGGTGTGCTCAACACTCAAGTCGGGTAGACCTTCATCTTGGTATTGGTTGTTAGTATCACATTTTCCCATATGGTTTTGGAACAGGTGAGCCATTGCCGTAGTTGCCTTGCATATATGTTTAGCCAGTTCAGCGTCAATGGAGAGGTTGCAGGTTATGGTGGTGCCTAGGCAGGCAAAATTGTCTACCACCCCAAGCATGTGGTCACCAGTGCTGATGTCTGGAGTGCTGGCAATGTCCTGACCCAAGACGTTGATCTTCGTCAGACTGACAGTAAGGCAAAATTGCGGGTTTGGGCAAAATGGTTCATGAGTCTCTGTAGAGCTTCCTTGGTGTGCGCTATCAAGACTGTACCATCTGCAAACAACATCTCTTGGATAAGGAGCCACCATATTTTTGTTTTTGCTCAAAGACATGCCAGGTTGAAGAGACCCCCGTCACTCTTTGAATGAAAGTACTGACCATCTTCAGTCAAGCTGAAGGTATAGGAGAGCACAAGGGAAAAGAATATGCCCAAACTAGTTGGGGTGAGAACATGGTCCTGTTTCACACCACTCTTTATAGGGAAGATGTCCAAGGATGAGCCATCATAATGCAATGTGATTGTGATGTTGTGGACTAGAAATTCTAAATTTATAGAGTGGAACTTGGAGCTCATCCAGATTTCCTTTTGTGCCACTGAATCAGAGCAAACTGCAGTCAGTGGAAAACCCAAGTTGGCATTTGTTCCTATTCAGCATTAAAGAGCAGGTTTTCGCGCAGAAAGCAGTGGGGGGGGGGGGAGTGCTTGGACATGGTGCTTTAAAGCGTGGGGCAAAAGGTAAGCATGGATGAACCCTTGACAGCTTTGTTTTTTGGGGGTTGTTATTTTCAGTTGTAATTTTCATACAGAAAGCTATTCTGTTTTTGCAAACAGGTCAGGGTACAAAAGGGAGACCCACAGCCTAGCTGTAGAGCACCTGCCTTGCATGCAGAAGGTCCCAGGTTCAATCTTCCAGTTAGTGCTAGGAACATCCCTCTGCTGAAAGCCTGGAGAGCTGCTTGCCAGTCAGTGTCGACCAGGCATCCCCAACCTTCGGCCCTTCAGATGTCTTGGAGTACAATTCCCATCATCCCTGACCACTGGTCCTGTTAGCTAGGGATCATGGGAGTTGTAGGCCAAAACATCTGGAGGGCCACAGGTTGGGGATGCCTGGTGTAGACAATAGTAAGCTAGATAGGCCAATTGTCTGATTTTGTAAAAGGCAGCTTCTTATGGTCACAGGAAAGTTGAAAGGTGGAGTCAGGGACTGTTTCCAAAGGTGAGGAACTTGTGGCCCTCCAAATGATGCTGAACTGAAGGAATGGGTTTCTGTGTAGCAAGTTTAAAACTGACTCAACCCCCCCTTTGTTCTTTCAAAAGAGAGCATTTTAAAATGCGTAAAACTTGAGCTGTTGAGCAAAAGCATAATAAGGACACAGCTGCATAAACAAGCTCTCTCCTTTATCAGTCACGACAAGGGATGACCCTGGCTCTCTAGAGGAACAAAGAAAACACGTCAGCACTTTATCTTATGTGCTGACCACAAGAATACGCGCAGACCGATGTCCGGGAAAAACGCCAAGAGCGTGTTCCCGGAGATTATGACCACTTCCCAGATAAGAGTAGGAAGAGGAAGATCCTTTTATGGTCAGAAGTACAGGAAGGAAGATCCTTTTATGGTTGAGAGTACCAGAGCAGGAACATATGTGATGTCAACCTGCGTACATAGGCTGACGTGGTTGGGCTCCTAGGGGAGGAGGGAGAGGGTGCCTGGAGGATATATATACTGCATGAAACTTGCCATTTCTTTGGACTTGCTGTGGACTCACCATGCAAATGCCTTCTGCTATCCGGAGAGCAGAATAAACTCTTTCTTTGACCCAACTCAGTGTCATTTGACTTCCTTCCTCCTGTCCCGGAGTAACGCAGACCCAATTGGTGAACTCCAATAAGGCTACATTTCTTGGTGCATTGGCCGGGAACCCACATTCTCCAAGGACAAGGACGAAGGACAGGGCGTCACTGCTAAGTGAACAGCTCGGTCGGCGTCGGTGGCTCCAAGCGCGCACCCTACATTTTCTCCACGCCGTACCTGAGTGGAGACGCAGCAGAGACGGAAAGAAAGAAACAGCAGCTGCACGGGGAAAAGGGTGCCCAAGGGAAAGGAAGGTAAGCTCCACAGTTTATTTTGTGGGAGCCAGGGGTCTGATCAAGCCCCACCCAGTAGGAGCAGTAAAGTGCCACTGGGTTTGACCAGTAGAGAGCAGTAGTGTGCCGCTGGTTTGCCGGTAGAAGAGCAGTAAAAGTGCCACCGGCTTTGGGAAGTTTATGGGTAAAGGGGATTGTGGAGGTGCATGGGGTTTGTATGTGTATGGGGATTCGTATGTATGTGCATTTATTTGTTTGTGGGGACACTCCAGTGAATGTTTTGAGTGGATGAGAC